CCAAGACAAGGGACTATTTTCTTCCCTGTGAGACCGGCCTCTAATCCATCAGTTGAGGAAGGCTCCCAATGTGACTTTAGGCTACCACCCAACCAATCTACTCATAAAAACCAAACTATATCTACGAGGAACACAGTGTGCTACTGAAGAGCAGAGAAAACCAGGCTAAGCTCCATCACTTAATGAGCAATGATATTCAGAAAATCTGAATGAAGACTGGAAGGAAGTAATTTTACAGGATTTGTAAAATCTCAGAGTATTCACCCCCACAAATACACAAAAGACATTACAGTAATAACTTGATCTTACAGAGCATAAATAAAACTATAGTATAACACCCATTTCTAAATCCTCACAATTCTTGGGTGGAACACAACTAAATAAAGAACAGGGAAAGAAAAGCATGAACAGCAGCAAGACTTAGAATTGTTAGTAATTTTAAGTGTGAGTAATAAGCAAATTTAAGCAAACTAAGAAATAAAGCCAATAAACATATATAGCCAAATCCAAAATACTACCACAGACTAGGATAAGGTTAATAATCAACTTCTTATCTCAGTAATTTTAACAAGGTGGATCAAGGTTAGTAAGTTTGCACGGCTGATGGTGAAAACCTTCAACATGACAGACAGAAAGTAAAGTTCAACACTTTGATCTCTATGTGACTGAACCATGGCACAGCCAAGCGGCTTCATTAAATAATAGCCACAGGGATTCTTGAAAAGATCTCTTTTAAAACAGGAGGTAGGAAAATTTTGACATAATCAACTCGCCAACAGGGAGTAAAACACAAATCATAACTATTTTCTACTTGCAGTCTAATGTTAGCCCTGTTTATAAAATCGGCTTAATATCTGAGGGTGGGGTTGGGGTGAGGCTCAGTTTCAGAGTACCTGCCCACCATGTACAAAGCTCTGAGTTCAATCCCCAACACCACAGCAAAACAAATTATTAAGTCACAAGCCCGTCATTCCAACATTAGGAAACTGAGGCAGGAGGATTGCCAAGTTGAAGGTCATCCTGAGGTAAAGGCCCTATCCTATCCTAAATAATAATATAGTAATAATGAGTAAAAAAAAAAAAAAAAAAAAAAAAAAAAAAAAAAGTAACAATTAAGAGCAGCTTGAAATGAAACATTTTATTCCACTTTGCAACTGAGGAAAGTTTGAACAGACTCTGGTAAGACTGTGAGAAGCACATTTCTCTCTACAGAATATATTTAGGGGAAAGGAACCTGATGAGAGATGCCATTCTGTATATATGTTTCTCATACTGGTTAATGAATAAAGCACTGTTGGCCAATAGGAAAGCAAGACAGGCGGGACTAGGAGACAAGGAGGAAAGAGGAAGTAGTAAGAAGGAGGAGTCAAGATGGAGAGAGCCTGGAGAGAACACAAATGCCATTCCTCCACTCTCGGTAAGACCATGTGGAAATACATAGAAATGGGTTAATAATTAAGATAGAGCTAGCCGATAAGAAACTAGTAACTGGCCAACAGGATTATATCAAATACAGAGTCTCTGTGTGTTAATTGGGGCTGGCGCGGCGGCGGGTGGAAAAACCTAACTCCTTACAGGAACCAAAGCATTTCTATTTGTAACTACAGATAAATGGAGACCATATGAGGAGTGATTTAACATTCCTTTAAAATTTTGATTCTATTTAATTATTATTATTGTTGTTTGTTTGTTTGTTTTCAAGACTCACAGAGATTCATCCGCCTGCCTCTGCCTCCCAAATGCTGGGATTAATGGCATGTGGTACCAACACCCAGCTCTACTTAATTATTTTTAAAAACAGAGTCTCATATGGCCCAGGCTGGTCTCAAACTCATGAAGTCATTAAGACTGATCTTGAACTTCTTTCTGATCTTCCTGCATCCACTTCCAAACTGCTGGGACTACAAAAACATACCCCCATGCCCAGCAATTCAGTTAGAACATTCCAAGACTCTTTCTCAGTGCATGTCTATTACCATAAACTCACCACCTGGTTTCCCTGATAAAGAAACTGATAAATAAAATGGAATTAGTTACAGTTTGTCCAAAATCAAGGAGAAAAATTCCTAGGATGAAATAACCCTGGAAATATACCCCTTGCTAACCTAAGTGTGAGATAAGCTGTCCAGACCTTGTGACATTTCTTCCTGGTCCATACTAGGATTTCAGCCTCTCCCTGCCCCAGCATGGGACTCCTGGGAAAATATCAATTCTTTTGGGTTCACTGTTTCAATGAATTTAAAAGTGGGCAATGAGGGCACAAGGGTCTCTCTTTTTAAGGAGTGTGTGTGTCCAGAAGAGTACTGGATTCTTTTAGAGCTAGAATTAGAGTTACAAGTCACCCAATGTGGGTACTGCGAATGCCTCCTCCCCAGCCACAGCTCACACCGGATCAATGTCACACTGCCGCTTCATCCATTATTTCTTCAGTGACAAGGACTTTGGCATCCCTATCACTGGAAGGCTCTGAAGTCCTGGCCCAGAAAGCCCACTAGGGAGAGCCAGGCCTCCTCAATGAGAAAACAAGAAAGATCTCACAAGGAATCCTGTGGACTTTAATTTCTCCTGGCTCTTGGATTAGAACTCAGAGCCTGACAGCCTGGAATCTGAAGGCGCAGGAGGCAGAGCAGCACTGCTAGACCACAGTCCCGGGCAGGGAGTAGAGCTTAGAAAGAAAGTGACAGTCTCTAGCACCCACAATACCTTCAGTTTAACAAGAAATTCTGGGGAAGAAAAAGACAAAGCAACATTCAAAAGGGCCGTTTTAATTCTCCATTCTCAACTGTAAGAGTCTAAGATGTAAATGCTTGATCTTACAGGTAACTTAAACGCCTCAACACAAGGTTTCAGTATTGTAAAAGGCTACAAGTTGGCTAAGCAATTCTTGTTTGATTAAAAATAGTGTGATTATGGGTAAGAGTTCCTTTATAATCCAAAACTACGTATAAGTTGGATAAATAGGCCTTAGACAAGACCAAACTTAGAAGAAAATTACAAGAGTCAAATTGTATGCCTGCATCAACACAGGTGGAACACACTGGCAAAATACACAGGTAGTATGACAATGTTTGAAAGTCAAATTAAAATCCACTCAGAAAAGGAGGAAGCACACAGACCTACATAGCTTGTCCTGTCACCAGCACAGCCTTGCTTGGTGAACCTTAGCTTGATGTCTTTGAGGGTGGAAGCTTCAGAAGAACAAGGTCCTAAGAAAGGTTACTAGTGCTGCAGCTGTAAAACTTAACAAGCAGCCAAACCTGGTAAAATATGAGCTTAGAAATCAGGTTTGACTCTTGGTCTAGACACTAGGTGACCCTGGCAAATTACTCAAACTCTAAACCTAGTTTTCTCTTCTAAAAACACAAAGGAGGTTCTATCATACAGTAGAATCATAAGGAATAAATAAGAATATCCAGCAGGTGTGCAGCACAGTGCCTACCGCACGGAGTACTTAACAAACCTGCAGTGCTTAACCCATTTAATGGCCATCACTGACAGCATCTGAGTGGATACAGGAAGAAGGATAGGAACATGGCAGAGCTGCTAAACATCCTGCAGAGTACCACAAAGAACTGCCCCAGACACCAAAGGCTTCCTCACGGAGAGGTCACATCTTAACTCTAATAATAATATTAAAGCATCAAGCTGCCAAGCATCCATGTTTTCAAGGTGATCTGACATGGAGAAAGTGAGTTATCAAAACTACATTGACATTGTAAACATACAACCACATGTGATAAAGTTTAAAGCGATTCATATTGTTATTTCCAAATCCCACCATATATGCATACAACTTAAATGTCTGCCATCGGAAAACAAGGACTAATTAAGATGGGCTCTGTGAGTAGATGAAAGCACCTGCTGCCAAGCCTCCTGATAACCTGAGTTTGAACTCCCCGCAGGCATGCAAGAAGCTGATAGGATGGCTCAATGGGTAAAGTGCTCATTGAGCAAGCATGGAGACTTGAATCTGGATCCCTAACACCCACATAAAAGCCAGGCACAGCAGTGCATGTCTGTTATCTTTCTGTGAGAACTGAGACAGGTGGATTCCCAGGGCTTGCTGGACACCTAGTCAAGCCAATTAATGAACTTGGGTTCAGTAACAGACAATTCCCCAAAACAAGGAGAAAATAGAGGAAAACACACACCATCCACCTTGGGCCTCCACATGCACACACATACACATACATAGACACACAAGTAAGAAATGCACTCAACACAGTCAAATTATAACTAGCAGGAAACATAATTATAGCCACAAAGTATGTAAAGCAATTTTTTTTTTTTTTTTTTTTTTTTTTTTTTTGAGACAGGGTTTCTCTGAGTAACAGTCCTGGAACTTGCTTGTAGAGCAGGCTAGCCTAGAAATCACAGAGATCTGCCTGCCTCTACCTCCCCAGTGCTGCCTCAAAGCCCACGATTTGACAGGGTCTCTATGTAACATGTGTAACAACCCTAGCAGTCCTAGAACTCCCTCAGTAGAGCAGGCTGGCCTGGAACTCACAGAGATCTGCCTGCCTCTGCCTTCTTAGTGCTGGAAATAAAGGCGTGCACCATCGCCACAATTCCTAAATAACAAACATAGCTTGCATTTATTTAAAAACTGCTTAGACCTGGCACCTGCATGCCTTCTCTGTCACAATTGTCAACACCAGCCCTTGTTGATACCTTGGTTCTAAATAACAGTAGCTCGTTACTGTTGGTATAAATGGTATAAAAAAACAGCAAATTATTTTTAAGACAAATTCTTGGTTCTGCAGTTAAAGCACATGTTTGAAATCATCTTTAGGATAAAATTATTTCTGTTACACACAGCCTTCTTGACATAGTGAAATAGATTCATGAATGACCCTTTGACAAACCAGAGATGAAGTACCAGCTGACTACAGGAAGGCTACAAAGGCAACACTAGCATGGCTAGCTTAGAAGAGAGTGGAACTCACTGCACTTCAGGTAGTTAGCCAGGGAAACCTTTGCTTTAGGAAGGAAGATCTCACCATTCTGACATGTTCTCATCAGAGCCCTGCTTCTGTTCCTCGGCTTCACACTCCATCCTTTCTTTCCTTCCTGTTTTGCTTAGGAAAGTCCTATTTTCTGCTGCTTCACACAGCCCATGGCTTGATGAGGTCCAGGGAGTGTTCTCCTTCCAGCGGGACAAACGCTGCTTCTTGGCAGACTTGAACCTGCAGCCTCTCTCATAGCTCCAATCAGACACCTTCAGCTTCTGCTGAAGGCTGGCAGCCACCTCTGATGTCACTCTCTTCACCTTCCGCCGGCGCCTGAGTGGTCGGCAAGGTGCATTTTCCGTAAAGGAATCAGATTCATGCCAAGAATGTTGCTTACTCCTAATGATGGCACTGAGAGCTGGGTGCCGTTTGGTCACCATTGTGTCATCAGAGTCACTGAAAGTGGGGAGCGGAGCCACTTCTCGACAGTCCTTGGTGGCCTCGTCCAGACTCGACTCTGAGGGTTCGCTGAAGCAGCAAGCATGCTCCGCCAGGTGAGAAAAGTCAGACCTGCGCTTCCGGCCTCTGCGCTTCCGAAGCTGTCGCCTCTGCTGCCTGGGGCTCAGGGCCATCTCCTCCCACAGCTCACCAAGCTTACTCTGCTCAGATGTCTGCTCCAAGGCTGAGGCTAAGTCATGTACCAGCTCATCCATGAGGCCACATCTGCCAAGGGAAAAAAAAGGATGAAGACAAGAAGCTTGAACAGACAGACCTGCTGTTTTCCAGTAATTTTATAGAGCACATAATGGCATTATGGCTCCCTGCCTGCAGAAAATAGATTCCTTTTATCCAGCTGCACTTACCACTCATTTCTAATATCCATGCACCCTTAAGCCACAAATATAAGGTGTCTGGCCCTTGTCAAATACCTGAAATCAACATATTCAATGGCTCACCAGATGACCACGGGGACATTAGCAAAAAACAGAGCTTCCTCTTTTCTCCAATTATACGTGTCCCTTGATTGCTTGATCATGAGAAAGTGTTGCCCCAGAAAGGAACAGCACATCACAATTTCAACACTATGGTAAATCGAAGGGAGTACCCGACAGGTCTAGTCACAACGGAGGGCTAGCCAGGAGTCTGGGATACCTGCTAAAAAACCCTAGTGGTAGGGAGGAGACAAAGATCTGAGTGGCAGCTATCTGGAAGGCTTTGCAGTGTTCATAGTCAGAAAATCTGTAGTTATCCAAACAGGTACACAGAGTGAGGGGGGAAATGAAAGCCCACATTTGGTACTGCCAGTGTACCAACTGCCACCTGGAAGTTACCAGATGTAGAACACTGTAGAATATGACAGTTTTTCAATGTGATTACTATCGTAGTATAGGACTTTGAGACTACTCATCCCGATCACGCCAATTATGTGCTTCAGTGACAACTGCACTAAAGCAAGATGAGAATGAAACTAAAACGGATGTGCAGGATAGTCTCCAAAATTTCTGCCTACCAGAAGCAACCCTTTCAAGGCCTAAGTAGCAGAGACAATTTTAGAATTTTCTTTTTCAAAAGAAATGTCTAATACCACTTGTACAACCCCTAAACTTTGTGTACTAAAATAGCACTTTCTCCCCAGCTCTAGGTAAGCGCAAAGTACATCTCAGCCATAATTAGAGCTTAAAACTGAGCTCATACCATATTTCCCTTAATGCAATTTACATTTTGCAAAGGGCTTTCTAAAGACTGTTCTCGGGGTCCCTATGTCAACAAATCCAAAGGCAGGAAAAGTCTTCTGGTTTATGTGTCACATCTGTGAGAGCAATGGGGCCACCTAGCTCCAGAAACTACCACCCAAACAAACTTCCTCACAGTGTCAAAAGCCTTACACATAAAAAGACCATTTCCCTTTATCAACATGGTAGTAGTTTTAAAAGCCAGAACTGAGGTTTGGAAGGCAACTGTCTGTAAGCCTAAAGCAGATAAACAAGAGGGCACAGAAAATGTAAGGCTTTAACAAAGAACTACAGCTTTGACACTCAGGTACAACTGCACAAACTTTAACGTGGGACAAGTAGTACTAACGTGTCCTCAAATGCCGGCGCAGAACCCCTGCGTCTCAAAGGGGCCAGAGAGAGAACCCTGGTACACCCACACCTCCGATCTCAGTCTCAGGAGCACACCGTAGGTACCCTGGTCTGAGTCACTGCCGGGACGCTGGTGGGCCGCAAAGCAGCGAGCTAGTCTTCCAATCAGTGACGGGAGGAGGGGAGGCAAGAGGCGCCTTCTCGCTCGGATTCACCCGAGACAGGGGGTCGGCTGTCCAGGGCTGTCTCGAATCTCGTCCTAGTGACCGGGTTCGCTCCGCGATGCGGGGGAGCGGGTGTCACGGTACCGCTAGGGAGGGGGGCACAGCCGACTTCCCGAGGACTCCCCACCATGCCCAGCCCGTCCTCAAGGCCAGGGAGAGCCCTGCCCCGGGTACCAAGCCTGAGCTCTCGCTGTCGCCCGCTAAAGAGACTGCCATCGCGGAGGCCGCCCGACCCTCGGCGCCCTGGCTGCGGAGACGCGTCTGGAGCAAGGCCCCGCCACGCTCGGTCACTCGCCGCAGCCCCGCAATGCCCCGGGCCACCCCGCCGCAACCGGAGCCCGGAGCCCGGAGCCCGGAGCCCGCCCGGCGTGGGCCCAGCCTCACCGACACCCTGGCCCTCACCGGCCGCCGCAGCCGCTCGCACCCGGCGCCGCCTTCGGGGCCGAAGCTCTTAGCCCGGGTTTCCCTCTCTGACCTCATTTCCGGTCTGGGCCGGAGAGGCGGGGCTGCAACGGTAAGGGAGGGGCGGGCTGTAAGGGAGGACACTCGCCCGCCCTGCACTTCCGCCTTACGGTGCGCCCACTTCCGCTCCGCGGTGGGCGGGCCGCCGGGGAACCAGGAAGTGAGGCTGGAGGCAAAGGAGGACAGTGTGGGGAGGGAAACCCCTAAGGCCTGAGACACGACCTCTCCCTTGAGGTTGCTGACGTTAAGGGAAGTGGGTAACCTGCTTTCGCATTTAGTTACTCAAGATCTATGAAAGTGTACGTGGCTTGAGCAAAAAGCAAGCATTATAACTCAAAGCATAAAAGAAAGACTCATAATCCCATACTAAGTGAATGTAAGAAAGTGGAGAAGAGAGAAATTCCCTGTGGAAGACATACGCTCTCCTGAAGCATAACCCGTTTCCCCTTGAGTCACTCATGGTGAAGAACCTGGCAAGCATTACCCTAGCTAGGATCACGGTTAACATCAACAATTATGTTGATAGCACGAGATTGTTGTACAGTGTAAATGACAATTTATGGTGGTTTCCTTCCAAAACCTCTAACACCAATCTAATCTCGAGAAAGAAAGGGAGGGAGGGAGAGAGGAAATCAGTGAAAGGAAATGTATTGGGTCAGGGACCCCCAACACCAAGTTCTCTCCACAAAGGAGATTCATTTGCCCCAGAGGGACAGAGGGCAGGGAATAAGAGACAAAGCCAGGAGACAGAGGATGGGGGAGAAGGGGAAAGGGACAAAGGAAAAGGGGCAGGGATATTTGTCCCTGGATAGGGAGGAGACAGATGTGGCCCATAGGCAAATAGTGGTGTATAAAGGTAAGATGGGAAGCCCTGTGTTTAATTTTAATTGGGCATATTAATTAGCTGAGCCAAAGGAGCTTTGATTGCTGAACTTCAATACTTTGACAGCTGGACCTTGGTACTCAACCTGGGGAGGTGGAAGTAGCCAAATAAGGGGAAAGTCCTTGCTGGCTGGCTTTAGGAACGAAATCTAAGGGCAGAGGGAATAGGAGAATAGGGCAAGGCCTGCCAGAGCCATGTTTGCCACGCTCCAGCTGGCCAGAGTCCTTTCAATCAGGCCAGCTATGGTTGAAAACTAGCCTGCAGAATGCCTCAGCAATATTCCTCAAAACTGATAAGGCCATCAAAGATAAGGAAAACCATCTAAGAAACTGCCAGGTTTAGAGGAGCCTGGAGTCCCACAACTACATGTTATATACTGCAGGGATACTGGAATAGAAAAAAAGAATTATATGAAATATTAATCTGGATAAAGGATAGATTTTAGTTAATGATAATAATGTAGTAAAAGGTGATGGATTACCTGACTGTTCCAGATAGTTTTATGTTTTTGTGCCCAAATTCTGAACCCCCAAATCACCTAGAGACCCATTCCATTGCAAAAGCAAAGAATTTTTTATTGTTTAACAAGTTAACTGTCTTTAACTCAGGCCCTTTGTCTGTTCATCACTGCAGATGAAATAAGAAGGACCCCAAGGGGCTTCGAGGTGTGTAGGGAGGGTTATTGGGCAGGGCAAGGGGAGTGTCTAGGGGGTACGCAACAGTCTCAGGATTAGTGTGCTGCTGGGCTTGGGCAACGTGCCTGTGTTGGTCAACTGGTTGCTATGCCTATAGACCCTTCTAGGGCGGTTGCTATGCTCTGCACTGTTAAGCCACTTTTGCTGTAAAGCACCCCCAAAGCCTGCCAGCTAACTTCTGATTGGTTCCTTGCCACATGGAGGGTATCAGACCTCCTAGTGACTGGGAGGAAGGGCAAGATGATGCAAGCACTTGTTGTTGAGTCTCTTTTTGAAGCCTATCATGGCTGCTAAAGCAGGGGGCTGAGTGAGGGTTTGATCCCTTCAATGTCAGCTTGACACAAGCTAAAGTCATATGAGATGGGGGGGGGTGTCAGAGAACCTCAGTTAAGGAAATGCCTTCATAAGACCAGACTATAGCCAGGCCTTAGTGACTGATGGGGGGGGCAGGATGACACACAGGGACACACCCAGGCTGGTGGCCCTGGTTTCTGTGAGAAAGCAGGCTGACATGAGGAGTAAGCCAGGAAGCAGCTCCCTCCATGGCCTCTGCATCAGCTCCTTTGTCCAGGTTCCTACCCTATTGTGTTCCTGCCCTGATTTCCTTCAGTGATGAATAGTGCGTGGAATTGTAAGCCAAATAAACCCTTTCCTTCCCAAGATGATTTGGTCATGGTGTTTTGTCATAGCAATGAAGCCTTTAGCTAAGACACTGGGTATGATGGAACATGCCTATTTGCCCAGCACTTGGAAGTTCAAGGAAGAAGAATTGCCAGTTTAGGGCCAGTCTGAACTACATAGCAAGTTCCAGCCAGCATAGCAAGGCCTGGGTTAGAAAAAAACATATTAATTATGATTAATGTACTATATAATACAAAATGTAGACAAAGGAAACTGGGTGTGTGTGGCTTATATAGAAACTGTAGTATCTTCATAATTTTTCCATAAACCTAAAATTATTTTAAAATTAAAAGGTTTTTAAAGCTGGGTGGTAGTGGCACACACCTTTGATCTCAAGCACTCAGGAGATAGAGGCAGGCAGATGGATCTGTTTGAGTTGAAAGCCAGCCTAGTCTACAGAGTGAGTTCCAGGACAGGCTCCAAAGCTACAGGAAAATTCTGTCTTGAATCCCCCCCAAAAAAAAGTTTTTAAAAAATGTATATGAATTTTGACTCCAAAATTCTTCTAAGACTTACTTTAAGAAAAAATTTAAATGAACTTTTTAAAAAATGCTGAATGTATAAATTAATTTCTGCAGCATGCATTGAAGAAGAAGGACAGTGCTACTGACTAGAAATAGAAGTACATGATGGGGGTTTGTTAATGAGACCCTGGTACATGGATGAAACAGAATTCCTTGCAGCCTCTCAGAATTGAAGTCATGACACTGGGTTGTCCTCGGTGGTACAGCTTGTGCTCAGCAGACACAAGGCCCTCACTTCTATCCAAGCAATATAAATAAAAATTGATGCTGCAGGAGATTATTTGATGACATGAAAAGTTACTGATTAAGTCAGGCATGATGATGCATGCCTTTAATCCCAGCACTGGGGAGTCAGAGGTAGGTGGATCTCTGTGAGTTTGAGGCCAGCCCGGTCTGCATCAAGAATTCCAGGATTGTCGGGACCAGTCTCAAAAACAAAGTTACTGATTGATGGATGAATATATATGTATGTATGTATGTATATATATATATTTCTATAGGATGTTACATTTCAATAAAAATGATCCTTAAAAAGGTAGAATTTGACTTTTCATGCATAAAATAAATCAGGACTACAATTACATAGAAATAGGACCAGAATGTTACACTATATAACATTCCAAATGCTGGGTGCCATAGCGCAAACTTTTAATCCCAATGTTCATTATACAGAGACAGGCAAATTTCTGTGAGTTTGAGACCAGCCTGGTCTACATAGAGAGTTTCTAAGTAGACTAGCCAAGGCTACATAGTGAGACCCTGCCTCAAAATAAATAAATAAATGAATGAATGAATGAATGAATAAATAAATAAATAAAATCAAAATAGTTTCGCATAAATACCTGTATCTCTAATTTGTTGTTTTGTGGGTTCCCAGAACTGTCAGTAAACTGTTTGTGTAAAGAATTAGGAGAATGGGAGCTGGAGAAATGGCTGTGTGGTTCAAATCCTCAGTCTTCACATAAGACTAAGTGTAGTAGCCTGCTCCTATATCCTCAATAAAAATTACAAGTACCTCTGGGCTTGTTTGACAGCCAATATCCAAAGTCACCCTCTGTACACACACATACAGACACACACAGATACAGAGACACACACAGACAGTCATAGACAGACAGACACAGACAGACAGACACACACACGCACACACACACACACACACACACACACACACACACGAGATCACCCACCAAGAGTTAGGGGAGATGACAAAGATAACAAATTTGGAGCCAGAGTGAACCAGAGACTGATTAGCAAGAGAAGTCAAAAAGAGAAATGGGCTGGTGTGAAAATGATTCATTCTGTTTTGGACTTGGTGAATTTGTGACTCTCACAGGGCAGGAGATATGGAAATATCCACCAGGTACGCACAGCCGTCAGACCTCTGTTCTGCTCAAGTGGAAATCCTCTCCCACGGGCCTCATCTGTTCCTGTACTGTCACTTCCCTCCATCCACACGGAAAGCTCCCAAAAGTCTTAAATTCAGTGTGTGCTCTCTGCTAGATGCCGTGTGCACACACTCCACCAGCATCTATAGTTGAAGACATCAAAATATAGCGAGTTTCTTCCAAAGTTCCTATCAAATCTCACCCTGTTTGGGAAATGTCACTGCCACCAAGGCCCAACGTCCAAATCATCTAAGTATTTCCAGTTCTTGCTTCTTCTTCCTCCTCCTCATCTTCTTTTTCCTTCTGTCTAGCCTGTTATTCCGTTAAAGCTAAGCCTCAGGTTGCCATTCCTAGTGTCCTACCACGCCAGTCATCCTTTTTGTTTGCTCGCTGCCATTGACAGGTAGTCACTCTGCTAAATGACATAACAACAGCCCGACTGGTCCTAGCACTTGCCACCCCTCCAGATAAGCCATCTTTTGCTTGCACCACAGCGAACTCCCTAAAACATAATTTGGATCATGTCACTTCATCCATGGTCTACTGCCTTCTAGGTCACGCTTGAGCACGGCAAACCACTTGCTGCTTTCAGAACACCCTGGGGATTTGGGGGTGATTTAAAGGCTCAGAGCCAAAGTCACCTCCATGAAGACTTCTCCTTGCTTGTCCCCTTCTCTGGCCCACTCTCAGAATTTACCAGAATCTTTATTACAGCACTTTCTTCATTCAACCTTGAATTGGAGGCAATTATGAACAAGTTTGCCTCCAGAAATATTTACTGAGCCCCTTCATCCTCTCTGGCCCCTGGCTTAGCCCTGGAGATGTGACTATGCAAACAAAGCAAAGCCTGCTCCACCTCCTTGAAGCTCAGCCCTTTTCATCTTACTGGTGTGGCTCAGAGCTGTGTACACA